GGCAGTCCACTGCTGGACATTGGTGTCCCCCAAAGCTCGCCACTGAACTCGATCTTCGGTTTTACGCATCCAGTCATCGCCAGCTGCCCTGCGCAGGTCGTCGCTCCATCTATCAGGAGGACGTCCTACACTACGTTTGCCGGTTCGCGGTCTGCGCTCCGGAACACGTCTGCCTCAACGGTTATCGGTTCTGCGACATACGGGACCAGCTGACCCATTTATTAGTGCTCCGTTCGTATTCAGTGGTGGATTTACACTAGCCAGGCAGTCGGGGCAAGTGCCCAGAGCGGCAAAAATTTTGGGGCGGCAAAATTTTGAAAGCGATTGATTGATTTTCTGTTTAATTGATAATTCAACAAATTCAAATCATCCATTATTTTTGAATTATAATTTTGGTACTTTTGGTAAAAATTTATAACAAAATGATTTAATCACTTTATTTCCTTGGACATTTAAAATAACTAGTGGTCCCCTGGTAGTCAAAATTCGACTATTATAACAAATGGAAATTATAAGTTTGTACACTATTATGATTCTATTGTCAAGGACTTCTTGGGATACTTCTTTAATCACAGATTTCGTCAAGACTACACTTTAGACAAATATTAATAAAGAGAAAACAATATATAATCTATTCTCAATATGACAGACTGCAAAGAAAAGTTTGACAATAAACAAATAGTATGCGTGTGTGTGTCAAATAGTGTGTGTAATGTTTTCTTTACTGATTTAATGTATCTTTTATGTATTATTTAAAAAAAATATTAGCATTGTGCACTTCTTCTCTATATTCTCTATAAGTGTGGAAAATTTTATACTTCTCCGTCCGCGCAATTTTCGTAAAAAGGGATACAAAGTTTTTGCTTCACGTATTAATATTTAAAATAATAATCGATTTTTCTATTTTCTGAAATTAAAGAAATTTAGTTATTTTTTATGTAATATAATTATGAGTCGCCCTTAGTGTAAAATTTATAATTGTTAGAAAAAAAAACAAATATTTAATATATAACATATTGATAACGTGTCGGCAATCAATTAGTTTTTAATTTTAAAAAATAAAATATATTAACTATAAGTTTAAGTAAAATTCCAGTATTGGGGCGGATTTTTTTCCGGTGCCCAGGAGCGGCATATTATGTTATAGCCTATAGCTTTAATCAGTAAATGTGCTATTTATCACAAAATAATTTTTTAATTCGGACCAGTAATTCCTGAGATTAGCGCGTTCAACCAAACAAACAAACTCTTCAGCTTTACAATTTATCAATCAATTATATAAAAGAATATGTATGTATTTAATATTGAAGATTTTCATATACCTACTCGACACCAGCATCGCAAGAAGCCCTTCCTTACACTGAAACAAAGAAGTCTCGACCTGCATGGTCTACAGTTGATATCGAAGACCCGTGTTCGGCAAAGGGATAAAAGATAGATATAGATAGAGAGTGAAGATTTTACTCCCCATTTTTAAACTATTACCATGCTGAATTTCTTAAAATCGTTTCAGTGGTATGGGTGTGAAAACGTAATAGATGGAAAGTTACTTTCGTGTTCTATATTTATGTTATTTGCTATGTTAATTCTACAATCTGACACGATAGGAAATTCTATTTTTTTTTAAATAAGGTAACTGTTATATCGCAAAATCCGGTTTTGATATAGCACGAAGCCTACTATATTCTGCTCCATATTCATGTGGACCTGCGAAAAGTGCAGGTGTTTAATACTTCTGAAAATTGCGCGAATAGAAATACCAACAGAAAAAAATCCTACAATCACTGATATTCTATTAATCACGGTACCTAAGCGTGCGGGCTCTCATAAAGCTACGGACGACTATTCTATTCCATTATTACGACTGTATTATCGTAACAATGTATAACAATAGTATTGGCCTTACCCGTTAGTGATATTCATGTAGTTAATGTTGTATTTTTCGAGTGCACGGTACCATTCCAACATGGTACAACACAGTAATGATCATGTGTGCGAGTCAACTGTTGAACATATAAAAAATAAAACGCAATTGGACTTCACACATTTATTGTATTTCTGTCTATTAAAAATACTATATCATACTATTTATAATATAAAGGGGATATCTACAGCAATTGACAGTCTTGCTGGTTGTACACATCCGCCAGAGCACAACATAAAAGTCCCACAAATCTTCTTACTGCAACACGTATGGGTAATTCCACTTAAAGAAAATCGTTTTATATTAATTTACAACCCCATTTATTAAAAAAAAAAAAAAAAATTAAGTCGCCAAATCCTACCGTGGACCAATTTTAAGTATTGCACTATTGACAGATATAATATTGATATTGGAGTTACTAGTTTTTCGGGTTTTAACAAATTTAATGCAACTTTAAAATTATTTTCCATGTCACACAAGCAGCCATGCAGCTTAAACAAAAATTTTAAAGTTAACAAGTTGGATGAAGACTTAGAATTCGTGTTTTGTGTATATCGAAGACGTACTTATTACATAGAATTTTGTCCTTGAATTCACTCTACACACATTTAGGTTTGTTTTATTTATTATTTTAAATGCCTACAGTCAGCCGCACCTGAAGCAGCGACGTCGTGCGAGGGGTGACGAATGACAACCTGTGTTGCTGCACGATATATTATGAAAGTGACAATGTCACACATCAAGTTTTTCTAAAGTTAACGAAAAACGTTTTTTTTTTTATTCAAAAATGCCAAAGGGTATTTATTGGGAACACTCTTTGAAACGACAACAGCCGTCGGTTTTGATTTCCAAAACGTTAAACTTAAGGTTTTTGCGTCGGACCGTTTGCTACTAGTTTAAAAGTGAAATACCGTTTGAGCTTATCTTTAAGCTATCGGCTCCATACGCGTTACATTTTCAAGATGTAGAATTTAATAAATCAAAAGTTGTTGATGTTTCGTTTAGTAAATGAATGTCTTCCATTTACCTTACAGTAGAATTTTATTCCCACTTTAGCCACCAGACAACCTTGAAAGATTGATTGTGGTGGGCAAGGTAGAAGGGAAAAGACACGCCGGCCACCAAACCGTTGGTCGGATCAGATAACTGCGCTCACTGGACTCTCAGTTACGAACGCCCTGAGAGAAGCCGAAAACCGAAGCAAATTGAAGCTGAGGGTACAAAGAGCCACGAAGGGCTTTCAAGGACACGACCTTCAGCAATGAAGTATTATGAATGAGCTTAAAAAGTGGTCTGTTTACTTCTCGGTTTTATTTATTCTCATATCCGTGTCTTTTCGCAAGTTTCCTACGTGTTTCCGGAGACACTCTTGGCATATATTTCGTTCTAGACTTTTATATACGGATTCGAGAAACGGGAGAAAAATTCTAGACAGATTCGGACATTATAATATGCGCCCAGAAACAATTCTAATCGCAACAAACATGCTAAAATTTTGGGATTCTGATCAACACTACCCTTTCGCACGGCGTAATACCGCAGGTAATGTACCAGTCTGTTTACAGAACAGGATGTACAGTCTGGTCCTGTAGTTATTATCGAATTTTGCACCAATTTCGATTGAGCTAACACGAGTTCTAAGTCCATAACCCTTCGACTCTCAGTAAATGTTCAAAGCATTACCAAATCAACAATCTCAGTGACACCTGGCATCATTAACTACGACAGTAATTTAGGCACATTTTTTTTATCGAATCAAATAAGCTCTAATCTTATATCGTTGATTTTATTTACCTTAAACGATAATTATGTTATTCTATTATTCAGATGTATTATCTTATGCATTTACATTGTTGTACACCACTAGTTTTTCATTACCGGATATCGTTTAAAGGGCAATGTCATTTAGATTAATATTCAATAGTATTGCGTAAAATTAGAAATATTTACGAACGTGCGATTTATTATCCAAGTAGTTTACGGATGAACGTAGTCATTGAAAATTAATCAATGTTAATGTTAGACAAATGACAAACCATTTGTGTAGGTTAATTTTGCTATATCGATTTTTTAAACGTTGACGCGTTGTTTCTGCAACTGACTACATGATTTTTTTTACTGTCGGTAATAATAAAATAATGGTGTACATTTAATTTAATTAAACAAATTTTGCACAACCTAAGAACTACACAATACCAAGTGAACCTTTCAAACCTAACCTGACATTTTATGATAAAGTAAATTTCATAATAATTTCATACACATAGTCTGAAATAAGATAATAATATGGGCAGTCACTACATTATGTTGCACAGAACAAACACAATGGCCATCCCTATCGGAAAATGATTTCGAGTGAACTACTTAACCTAAATGTATTATTATGTACATAATAATAATATGTACCGAAAATAAATTAGCTAAATTTTATAATTCATAGTAAATTGTAACAAAATACTACCATGCATATTCTTAACGCAAGGCTCTCAAATATTTATTGTTGATTGCACATTCATGTGATAAATGAGGAAACTTTGCGATTTTTAGTTTCAGAAATAAAACATTCAATTTTATGAAAAGAAAACAGCTTTTGCGTCGATACAACATTCAAATTAACCGTTTGCAATAAAATCATAGACTTCTTACTGTTGCTTAAACATATGTAATCAATTGGACCGCATTTTTTTAATATAGAGAAATGGGAGTAATGCCCACGACAGCTAGCATCAATAAACAAAAGGTACTTTGAAATGCTACCTGTTTTGTTCGGTACTGCAAGAATCTGACACAAAACAACATAATAAAAATAATGTGTGTACTTTCTGTATTCTATAATTCGTCTTATGATCCTAAGAATCCGAAACAATCTACAATTCTACACATAGCATACATAGTATGTACATTATAAATTATATACAAGAATAATAGATGGCATAGAAGTTGAACATCTTCATATTGCCACTATGCCAACATGTACCAGTCTCGCTTTGCAATGTCTTCGATTCGTAATAAAACAAAACAACAGCATTTCCGATGCACGCTCGCTTTTATGGCAGGTACTGAAGAAAAAACATGGTAACTTACAAAAGTTTATTGTCCAAATAGGTGAAGCATTTGTCTTGTCTTGCACCTAAAACAACCGCCATGCGCGTGAATTATCGCACATGAGATATATTATTGTTTATTTTCAAAAGGTAAACTTCCATGAACAGATTTTTCGGAAAATTAGACGAACTTTTAATTAAATCGAAAATACATCGAAAGTACCAATGGACTAATTTGTGATTTTATATAATTAAAATTGCAACGTAATCACTGTTAAAGGTATATTGATGACCCATAATATGGTTATCGGGAGCACAAAATGACCTTTTATATATTATATTACACAAATGTATATTATAATTTGTGCGTATTCGAGATGCTGTATGGTATGGTAAAGCACATTTTACGATAAACAATTATCATTAAGAATATTTGAATTTGGTTGATATGTTTTTTAGTTTGTCTGGTGACATGATGCAAGAACTGTGTGAAGCCCATTGAGCACATTCATTAAAACCAAAACGTACGGAAAATAGCTTTACGAGGCAACTACTGTATTCTAATCGTACACCATGTCACAAAGCATTCCTTGTACATGGTTTAAAATTTTACAACAATAAATATATTTATTTGTACATTACACATGTGATTTATTATTATTTACAAATAAACACAATGTATCAACCTTCACCTCTATTCACAAAATGTAACCTAAAATGTGTTAAAGTTATATAAGTAGAGCTGTAAAACTTAACTAACTAAAACTATAGGTACTAGATGTAATTATACCACAGCATTACTAATTGCAGGTTGAATTATTTGTGGTAAAAGAATATTAAAATTAATAATATTAACATAATTGAAATGTGTCTTTGAAGTCTGTAAAAAGTATTTTTTACTTCTGTAACTTGAAAGGTTAATGTATTTTCACTGTTCTAGATGTTTATAAAATATTTTAAAAAGGTTATGAGATCGTAAAAAGTATTGAATATTTTAAGTGTTATGAGAAAAAAAAATTGGACTATTAAAATTTAATGTTATTATGACCTATTTAAATAGTTAACTATAATAGCTTAACCTATATTTAAATTGCACTGATATTTTCTATTAGTATAAAACACTACATTTTTACAGCCATTAATTAAATTAGAAAACAACATTGAAAATAAATGAACTTTCTTTTTCACTTCAAAGAATAACAGTGTGATTTATTTTCAGAGCTAAATGTGTACATTTGAAACGATCGGCCACAAGAATCTAGCCATTTGGTATATGAATACTGCCCGGGGCAATACTTGCTAAAATCTGCCCTTATGATCAACTACTTTAGTATTACAACATGTAATTAAATAAACATTGAAACCGTTGTTTATTTCATAACTACAATTCTAAATACATTTAATTAGAGTTTAGTGTTGTTAGTTCAAATCAGGTTAAGGTGATTTGTAATTCTAAAGTTCAGTTTCATTTTTATGAACCTAATTCATTCTCGTTTGAAAAACTTTAAAATATGTTGTGCAATACAAAGTTTCAATTAAGCATTACTTGTCAAATTTAAAATTGAATATAAATAAAATATGCAGCGTAATTGTACAATTGAACACAGTCATCTGTAAATAGTTCACTACCAGTACCTTTTTCAAATAATATTTCCTTAAGACAAATTTATACATTTTTAAAATAAACTTTACATTTAGAATGACTTATTTTAGGTTGCAATTCTAAAATTAAATGTAAAATGATGATAATAATGATATTGTTTGACATTGTGTTAAATTTGTACATGAAAGTGGTGTTTTGCGGTTGATCTATTATGTTATTTATAAACAATATTTTTAATTAAACTATGAAAATAACATTAAGCTAACAAAAATGGAACCTGAAACAAATTCTACAAATAAAGAGATACTAAATTTCTCTCAAAATAATTATTTTTAATAATGCAGTAAACTGCATATCATAGCTTCATTTGAAGTATTTGTTATCAGATGAGCAAAGTGTTTCACATATTTTGGAAGAAACCAATCTTAAACTTAAACTACCAATTATTATAGAACCATTTCACTTTTTTATTGCCCATTTGTAACACCCATACGAACTCTACTAAGATATAGTGGATGCGGATTGTCGTACGTACATTAATTTCAATAAATCACAAAAACCATTACTTATTGGCCCGCGTCAAAAGCGAGTTTGATGGAAGTCCCCGCTCCCAATAACATAGAATCAACTAGTCAGTCCCGTTATTCTAGGCGTGCAAACATCAGAATCGAAATGTTAGACATTTGTGGTTAAAGGTACTAGCGCAAAATAACTATATGCATCTTTTTAACAGCCACATAGAAATCTAGAGATTCGCTTGTGAACATATGGTTTTCGTAATTAAATAAAATTTTGGACGTCTTCGTGTCTCCAAGATGGGAGATAAAGAAGCATAAAAATGTCTTGAAGTGTCAAGTAAACTAAAAGGCCGGCAATCGTATCAGTTGCGATGTCTTACTCACCTTGGCGTTGCGTCTCAGAGCTTGCGCGGACGAGTGAGCCTGCGCTTCTTGCGGTCGGGCGGAGAGGCGTCGGCGGAGGCGCGGCGACGGCTGGGCGGGGTGGACGCGCAACCTTCGCCTCCAGATTCCGCTTTTGTTTCTACTTTATTTTTGGTTTCCTGTTTGTTTTCAGACTTCGTCTTGGTCTCCAATTTCGTATCCGCTTTCGCCTTGGTCTCGGATTTTGGTTCTGGCTTTTTCTCGACTTTCGGCTCTGATTTCGACTTCGACTCCGCCTTGAGTTCCACTACGACTTCGGGACCGGTCGCCACGGCCACCGCCTCTACGGCTACTTCGGCCGCATCTTCACCGCTGCTTCCGGCCGCCCACTGCGTCACACAACACATACCATGATAATCTTACAATCAATTACAAAAATACATCTATTGTAATAATGGGAAAGACTGACCTGCGCAAATGATGATGGTGAAAGACGCAATGAGGCCCCGCACTCCGCACACAATGGAGGCACAGCCGGTGATCGAGATCGCCAATACTGTAGTTCTGTTTTACATTTATTCAATTCCTGTATGAAAGATAATGTGATTATGATGTGATAATTCGAATAGTAAATCTTTAAAATCGTTATTAGGAAATTAAACAGGGTGTAAATTAGTAGGTAATTAGTTTATGTTCAGGAAGCTTTTGAAAATTATAAGCTTACTTTTACAGTTTAATCTCGCATTTTTAATTATCGTTTATCATTTTCATGGTCAAGGACAATGTGGTCACTAACGGAAGCGTATTCCCGATTGTGAATTATTATTAACTATTAATATTAGGAAGACAATAAATATAGTAAAAGCATGTAAATTTTGGATTATTTTTTTGTTAGATTTCACATTTTTATTGGCAATGATATAAATTTTTTAAATTCTACTTTTCATACCTGTAATAGAGTTTGAAATTTACGACTGGTTTCCTCATTTTTCTTATCATAGTCATCAAGACGGTTGGCATACTCTAATGTTTGTTTTTGCTGTTCAGCTATCTGTTTTTGCTGTTCAGCGATTTGCTTTTGTTGAAGTGCTGTTTTGCGCTTACAGCTGCGTAAATCACTCCGTAAAGCCGAGAGTTGATCATTATATCTAAAAAATACCATACCAGTCAAGAGTAACATGACATCTTATTGTCATGTGTTTAGTTAAAATTCCATATTGAAGAATGAAAGTTCCTAGATTATATTATGTTTATAAATATGGTTTTTTTATTTTTTTTTATTTTTTATTGCTGAGATGGGTGGACGAGCTCACAGCCCACCTGGTGTTAAGTGGTTACTGGAGCCCATAGACATCTACAACTTAAATGCGCCACCCACCTTGAGATATAAGTTCTAAGGTCTCAGTATAGTTACAACGGCTACCCCACTCTTCAAACCGAAACGCATTACTGCTTCACGGCAGAAATAGGCAGGGCGGTGGTACCTACCCGTGCGGACTCACAATAGGTCCTCCCACCAGTGATTACGCAAATTATAATTTTGCGGGTTTGATTTTTATTACACGATGTTATTCCTTCACCGTGGAAGTCAATCGTGAACATTTGTTAAGTACGTATTTCATTCAAAAAATTGGTACCCGCCTGCGGGATTCGAACACCGGTGCATCGCAACAACGAATGCACCGGACGTCTTATCCTTTAGGCCACGACGACTTGTCAATGACTTGTGTTTCAAATTTGCAGAAACTTCTGCAGGATTGTACATGTCTTCAACTATTTTCATAGTAGTGTGCTATGGCTTGGTGTTGTCTCATACCCTCAACTCGGAAAGGTAAAAAGCAGCAATCTTTCCTTGAGTTATGGAAAGCTGCTTCAGTAGAATACGTATTGAAGAGAAGTTTGTAATTTATTATTTTTTACTTTAACTTTGTGATGACCAGTACTGAAATTATCCAACTCTAAATCTAAAAATAAAACCATCTAGGATTTCGAACTATCAAAAAAAAGTTGATATTCCCATAATTCTTAGTTGCAATTACTTGTTTAATTAAAAAAATTAAAATAACTCACTTCTTCATTCCTTGTTTAATGCGATGTATTCGTTTCCTAAGTACCATATTACTTTGGGGTGGGGGTGGTGATGGAGGCAAACTCTCTTCCATGTACATGGTCAGTGATGAAGCTCGACAATCATTTGAATTATTTGGTTGTTGTGATGTAGAAGAATCAAAACCAGCAGGTGGTGAGTCTAGACAAATGTATGACTTGCTACTTTCACCAGCTAAAATTTAAAAAATTGTCTTGTTTAAGTCTAGTAATCACAAATATAATACAAATGAGTTGTGCGAAAATCCATAGCTTGCATTCATGCAGACTTGACAGAAGATGAAGATCTAATTTAGTTGTATAATGGTGGTTGCACCATCCAGATTGGAAGTCATGACAACACTGCATCAGAATTGCACAAGATGGTAACTATCCTATCAGTACATTCACATAATCATTGATATATTTTTTGAATTATGGCCTTTTTATACCACCGTTCCTTCATTGATGAGTAGTTCATCCATAGATGGAATCATGTTCAAAATACAAATAACAGTATTCCAATTTCGATAACAAACACATCTAAACCACATATTCAGGTTCTGATTTATACCATAGCACAGTCCCATTCTTGGGTACTAATTATAATATGAAAGGTGTATGTACCCTGGACTCAGCTTACATTATTATTGGACCTTAATAAAGGTCCAATATCAACCTAGTAGATCATTGGAAGTTATTGTAAATATCAAGGCATGGCAAAAATAATATATTTTTGGTCAAACACATGCAACAAGGTATCCTTAAGTATCAAGCTTTTGATGAAAAAATCTGTGTTAATAAAATTTGCAAGATCAATCCATTTACTTATACAATTGTACCACTATGTAATTAACATGTCTATTTCTGTACTCAATGACCAGGAAAACCATTTAAACATTATAACACTAATTACAAAAAACAATAGCTTTAGTCACTATTATGATTATTTATACTAAAGTAATTAATTTGGGATGCCTATGAAAGGTCAATTAGTTTTTCAAGTCCTAATCAAACATCAATGATCTTCTGTTTAGAACAGAATATGAAGATAAGTACAAGATTTAAAAATAGTTAAATACTTACGTGAAAATGCTGTGGTGATGTCAAAAAAGTCTGTTCCAAAATATGTAATCTCTGGTAAATTTGGTTCTATATGTTCTTTAAAGTACTCCATAGCCATTGTTGTCAAATCAAAGAGCTCATCGGTTACTTTGTATGGCCTTGCCAGTTTAGTTGTTATTTTAAGATAAGACAAAATACTGTATACTTCATCTAATATCTAAAGACAAAATATACAAATAAGATCATGAATGTTGTAAAGTCCTTTTTAAAGCCCTCTATAACTTAAATATAATTCATTCAATAGTAAGTACAAACACTAATAAGAATTATTCTTATCGTGTCAAATTCGCTAAGAAGCTTTGTAATTGAATACAATTATCATTTGAAAATTTTAAATGATGGCTATTAATCATAACCTTGCTACTTTATGATTTAAGAAGTAACTTTTCTTACCTCTCCTGGAAAAAAGCAACAATGTTTCCTCTCTATATGTTTACCAAAAGTCATTTGTAACAAACTTAATCTCATATGCAAAGTTTCAATAATGTCAGACTCGCAAGCCAAAGGATGGCTTCTACGGGCTGATTCTCTTCGAGGCATTTTAGCTTTGATTGAATGAAATCTATGCAACATTTGATTTTGTAAGCGTTGAAATGTTGAATTTAATATTCCACTACATATTGTGTTGAATTGTCGGTTGACCTGCAAGAAATTAATGCACTTGTAATCTCAATAAGTCTACAAAGTTTTTCTTAAATTTATGAAACTACTTATATGATTCAACTAAAATCCTTTGTTTTTTGTTAAAGCTTTTTCATACATTTAAACAAATTTCATACTCTAACCAATAAGTTGGAAATACGAACCATTCTAAGATGAGAAACAGATTTAAATCCCAGATAACAAAATATTTTCTCGATAACTTCAATGGGCAAATCCATTAAATTGGTATTATAAGTCTTTGCAGGCACTACAACGGTGCACTTAGCAGTGCTAGAGTGCGGCGATGAGCCTCCCGGCATCAAGGCGCTAGAATGTCGTGTCACCCGGGACACGGACACAGATTCCGCGTGTGATGGGCCTGCACCATCACTGCTTCCGTTACCACCCCCAACGCTACTCATTTGCCTCGTCGATACCATTTTCCCCAGTTTTGACTTTAAGAGTGTCTGAAAACTAAGCTTTCCATTAGTTAAACCTCCGCTGTAATATTTCGATAATAGACAAATTATTTAATTTAGCATTATTCCTGTTTATTTTTTAATTTAAAATTCAACAATATAAGGACAAATTCAGTCAAAAAATATATATATCAATGAATGTGTTTCACACAACAAAAATAAATTACTTTGAACACCACCGAGTAAATTCTAAAATGGTGGCCATGGATGACTAGATCAGTACCTAATCACTTGAAAATATTGTTTTTATTTAAACACATGGTGTGAATAACTATGTAAAGAATAGCAAAATTCACCCACTCAACAATTCCTATACATTTTTTGAGGAATAATTAAATAGTTTTTCTCTAAACTAATTTTACAATGGGATGCAGTACTTTCAACGGAGCTACGCTTTCACGAAATTGTTTTTTTTGCCCTTGTTTTTTGTTCTTATTTACCTACGGCCATCGGCTACCTAACCTTTTAGTCAATCTTCGCTCCTTGTAAAAGGCGAAAATTTACTAACATTTCTATGAATTTTAGGGAAGAATCCGAAAATGCAACGTATAAAAAAAAATTCTACATTACTGTGTGTGTAAATGAGAAATTACTGTGAGAGTAATAGAAGATACGCCATATTATTTTGCATGAAGTAAAAAGGAAGCCAGGCGGGTGTAACGCACAGGTTGATATTATTGCCTATGTACACAGAATTGTAATAGTGGGCTAACACAAAAGATTACAGTGTTTTGACACATTTGAAAATATCCAAAACAGATTTGCTGCCCGTGTTTATAAAAATTCGTCGTGTTTATAAAAATCTTCCATTGTTACTATTATCCACTGGAATCAGAAGAGATGAAAGTCCTAGTAACATAATGAAAATTTGCTGAGAGATTCGTGGACTTTTACTCCAGTGACTTTGATTCATTTTCTCACATTTATGCACTTTCGCGGATGCTAAGCCATTAAAAGGCTACTATTATATCACGTTTAAAACCAAAGAAACACTAAATAAGCAAAGAAAAAACTTACATCACATTAAAAATCTACATTTATAAACATAACATAAATAATAATAATAATAATAATTAATAAATAATATTAGGAGAACATTAGTCAGTCGATGGTTGAATGCAAATATATAAATAAATTATTTCCTATTTAAGTACTACGTTTTTCTTGGGTTTTTTTTCAAATCGTTGTTATTTTTGTTTTTGTTTTACGTTTTACTTTAATTATTTAATTCTAGGCGTTGCGACGCCACAATCGTTTGTAGTTATTTAAATACGGAGACGTTTAAATGGTGTTTAGTTGTAAGGTTAGATTTTATATGGTTTAAGTTCACTGTTTGTCTTCCAAATAAAATAAAATAATATATAAATAAATATACAATTATATAATATATATAAATAAATAAATTTCCACTATATTTATATTATTATTATTATAATATTTCATTTTAGCTCAACTTGCTTAATTCCAATTCATTACATATTCGCATTAATCAATTTTAGAAGATTAGCAAATTTTCTAATATTTAACAGCCGAAAAGTGAATTCATATATAAATAAATGTAGATTCCTTTAAAAATGCAACAATTTGCAACATTTTAAAAATACAACACCACGGCTTTCATACATAATATGGTGAATATTACTAAATTTTTTCTTTATACTATACTAATTTTACTCTTGTACGTTATTTGATAAACATTCGGCTCATCTGATGCTATGTTGTTATCGCAGCGGAACTCATTCTTTGATATTATTATGTGAATATACAGCTTTGACATATGAAGGACAAATCCTGGGCCTCCTATCCTGTTTGAAACAAGAATTAGTGCCCATCATTCAACAAGCACGCTAAGCACGCCAGTAACTTAGATTAGAGTTAGATTCTACTAATTCAATAAAAAACATGTAAGACGAAATTTAACTCGTAAGAACTCTGTATGTCGTCACTGTCGTCAGTATGTGTTTATTTAATAAACTGATATCACATGCTAATTTTTGAGTTATTCCAATAGAACACTGCCTAGAACTTTTGGCTTTTTAAGCCCTTTCTAGGACACCCTTTATAATATATAATAATAAATAAATAAATATAACTAGCACTACTACAACATTAATTTATGCATACTTTTGAAGATTTTATAAGCTTGATTAAATTAAAATTACTTATATGTGTATTTTCTGTTGCTTGCAGAACTGGCATCATGAGCAGTCGATTGCCATATTGAAAAAAGAAAATGTTGACGTTGACAGTCATCTGTGCTGTGACATAAATATTTTAAACGTTGACTTTTTGGCGGGAATGCGAGGAGTGAAGTTGTGTGATTTGATTCATTTTATCTATTTAGTGTTTCTTAAGGTTTAAATGTGTAATAACAGTGGTTTATTAACTGTTCAATATCTATGAAAGTGCACAAATGTGGGAAAACGAAACAAAGCCGCCGGACGCAACTTCTCGGGATCCTCCAAAATGTCCACTGAAAAAATCTCAGTAAATGACCACCATTTTACTGAGATTATATTTCAACCCATATCATCTTATTTTATTTCATTTCATCCCAGTTGATTAACGTCTCAAATTAATGATCTTCATTTCATTTCACTCCATATTATCATTTTTCATAAAAATAAGAACATAAAGTAAAGTAAGACATGACCTAAAGGTCTTAGTTACCAGGTCATAAAATCCCTTAAAAAAATAATTTTAAACGTAATTCTCGTACCTACCATAGATTATACACTTAATATATTTGTACCTACCTATGTAGGTACTTATGTACGTAATTGTACCAAAAGTCGGAAATAATACTGTTATTTTAGTTATCAGTAATTTGAAATTTGATTTTAGTATTACGTTACGTAAATGTTACGTAACCACATGGTTCAAAAGTGATTTAATTCGGGTCATGAAGTACTTGTCCAAGACTATCTTATATTTATAATGTTATCAATGTATTCTTCATACCCTACATAGAAATAATGGAACAAGGCACCATGAACTCCGAAAAGTGAAAGATCGCATTAATGTAATGTTTTATTTTATTAAAGTTTGATTATAACAATTAATATCCCAATATGTATCCTCGTTGTGGCAGTAGCGGATCTATTCAAAACATACATCAAACGCCGTCCTCCTCAAATCAAAACACAGGTAATGACTTTTTCTAAAACTTGTTTTACATGTTTTTGTTTACGCGACATATTTGTATTTTCGTTTCGCACTCATTGATAACAAATGGATGAAATATATTTGTACCTACTGTGAATGTTATTATTTTGTATAGAGGATGAAGATGACAGTGGTGACAACAAGGCATCTGCACTCAGTTTCAAAGAGAGAAGAAGGGAAGCTCACACACAGGTTAGTAATATCACCTAATCACTGCTATTAAGAGATGATTTAACAAAAATTAAATGGACTAATGAATTTATAATACAGATTATTAATCTTTTACTAAATGGAAATGCTAGTTTTTGTAGCAATGCGCACTTGTTGAATGTGAAAGTAAACGCTATCACTAGACAAAAAAAAAATGAATCCGCTTAATATACTCAGTAGACTTTCCTAAATATTTTCTTTGGGCTATATTCATATTCTCTCTATGTTAATACATAATTGTTATTAACTATTAGGTATCAGGAGTACTTCTTCCTGTGAGTGAATTTTGGGCACTCAAAGAACAAGAACTGAAAGTTTTATTTCTAATTAAAAATACTGGTTTTATAATAGTCTTTATCTAACTTTTACATTTTTCAGGCAGAGCAGAAAAGAAGAGATGCAATTAAGAAGGGCTATGATTCACTCCAAGACCTTGTGCCTACTTGTCAGCAGAGTGATGCGTCTGGCTACAAACCAAGCAAAGCTGCAGTATGTTAAGTTTCTTATCAAATTAATTGTTAAATGTGTAAATAAGAGGTTATCAATTTTATAAAATTTGAACAACCTTGTAGACTTTATCATTCAGATATGTTAGGGCTGTGTTATCACAAATAATGATATTTATTATAGTTGAGGACTGCTGCGCAAATATTTATTATATAATGTGATCATAGCTATCCCAGATTATCTTAAAAAATAATTAGAAACTTCTATCTCACAATGGGTGGCAACATTCTAACTTCATTAATAATTGTGTCTTAACCTTAAACGTACAGCTTAAAGGTTATAATTGAAGTAAATTTTTAGAAAGGATAATATTGGTATACAAGTTTTTTAAACTATTATTCAAACTCTGGTTGTGTGGTATTTGCCTATTTGCTGTATATTTTCTCTGAGTACCTACTAGACCAGCGTAGTACAAACACCAACTGGCATTAACTGGTGTTCCTGCTGTTTTTCTATAAAAAAGAAGTCTAGCCAGTTTAAAAGGTAGAAAAGCTGTTATACAAAACAATTGAGACTTAAACCTTATGACTCAAGCTCCAGATTCTTCATAACACCATATGGTCCATAATATCCTTTAATCAATAAAGCTTAAAAGTGCTTGTTCACTTTAATTTTCTCTGCTTTTAGTTATTTATTTTGGGCTGGATGATCAATTGAGACTGATTTTTACCTAAATGCTTGTACAAAAACTGCTGTAATCACTTAAATTAATAAACAGACAAAGTAAATAGTATAGATAGCTTGTTAAATGTAAACATATTACAGTTAAACAATTTTTAAAATATTTAATACAATAAAAAAAAAAGTTTAAACTAAATGCAAAGATGCACCATTGATATATTACTCAGTGAACTAGTGAACTTGGGCAACACCATTGAACTGTGTGTGTAAAAAATTCCTATTTGTCATATGTTGATAGTACTATGACAATCATCCTTCGTCAATCAGATAAACGAAATTATAAAATATCAGCATTGTTCAAGTAAACCTACAAACTATATTTTTTTAATATTTGAATTTTTTGATTATTACCTGTAACTATTACTATCCTGTCTATAATTTTATCTCTGGAAACTAAAGGTCACACTTCTTAATAAGTTAACCTAACTTGCAGGTCCTTCAGAAATCAATTGACTACATCCAGTATTTGTTACAACAGCGTCGTAGACAGGAAGAAGAGCGCAATGCATTGCGTAAAGATGTTGTCGCTCTTCGAATAATGCAAGCAAATTATGAACAAATTGTTAAAGCTCAACATTCCGTACCTGGTCTGAATGAGCAAAGGCTGACGGACCAAGACAAATTTCAAGTGGTATGTATGTATATAACTTTTTTAAGAAAACCCGTGAGACTATAAGTCATTTAATTTTATTGAGACGATGAGATCTCTGAATCTACCTGTCCAGTAGACTTTATATTTGTTATAGATATTCTTTTTGTGAAGCAGACTATTACTAAAAACGTATTTTATGCTAGTTCTCTTCAGAATGGATTTTTCCATTATTATTATAATTATTATTTATTATTTATTTGTACACACAGTTAATATAATACAGTAATTGCGATAAGATATAAAAAAAATGGGGAGCTTAACTCAACAATTGAGTTATCTACCAGGTAACCGTTCTCAAAGAAGGAAAGCTTTACATGAGTGGGTAGATGAGTACAATCTAATTAATTTAATTATTGATACTATAGACAATATATTATATATAATTATAATATAAGTTACAAAATAAAAATAGTTACGGATGCATTTATTTACACACAAAGACCCTATTTAAAGTTTAGGTACCTATTACAATATTTTTAAGGTTATTATTATGACTTTGAACAAGAAAGGATAATTTCCATATTTAATTTGAGTTTGCTTTGATAAAACTTGCTTATTGCTATAACTTTATCTTAAGAGTCACCACTGTGATTACAATATAATTTTCTGTATTAGATAACCTACTTATTTAGAATGTTAAGGCCCATAATTAAATATGTGTGTAACTGCGGAATATGTCTAGTGTATCATTTAAACAAGCATTTAGGTGAATTTTGCTCTATTTACCTACCTTGTTACTTAGGTACCTGTAAAAAGGCTTTCTGTAATAGTACAGTGTGCACTTAAGGGCACACTAAATTCATTTCAATTGAACACAAATCATAGGTTTTAACTATCATATAATTTCCGGAGTTTCATGCCCTCTTGCCCCTTGGCATAGTTTCAACATCCAAATGACATCATTTGTGAATTAATTTGATTCAATCAAACATTAAAGCGTTATTAGTTAACGAAAATAATATAATCAATATTAATCTCATCAGAACTTGCTATTCTGAGCATTATACTTTTCACAAAATACAGTTAGGTATTTCAGATAAAACAATATGATTGTATTGTAATATGTATTTAGGAATCTATATATATTTAAATAATCAGAATACAATTGATCCAATATGAAATACTGGTGGTAGCACCTCTTGTGAGTCCGCACGGGTAGGTACCACCACCCTGCCTATTTCTGCCGTGAAGCAGTAATGCGTTTCGGCTTGAAGGGTGGGGCTGCCGTTGTAACTATATTGAGACCTTAGAACTTATATCTCTAGGTAGGTGGCGGCATTTACGTTGTAGATGTTATGGGCTCCACCTAACACCGGGTGGGCCGTGAGCTCGTCCACGCGCCTAAGCGCTAATAAAAAAAATATATTTTTGCTATACATGATTCACGAAGGATATAAGAAATCAAACTGGTAAAAGTGCCTTTAATGCTATAGGTAATCCTTATATGTTTATCCTCTTCGATAAAAAATAAAAAGACACTAATATTTGAACAACACAAACTTTATTAAAATTTAGTTTCAGGGTATAATGGATAAGCTGTTTGAATCATTTGAATCTGTACCGACAAACGACTTCGCTGAGTTCTCAGCGGGTGTCTTCAATTGGCTGGAAGAATATTGCAAACCACAATCCTTGAGGACTATGGTACACGGTGTGCTGAGAGATCAGAACTACACACTTTAAATAACAAATATCTTTTCAAAATATTTCACAGCAGTTTGAGTAACCTCAAAAAAAAAAAAGTACTAGAATAATAATTTTGCCAATTAACGTTTTATTCTACTTATTATTTTGTTTCTGCATTTCCATGATTATTCTTGAGTTATCAAATTTATTTTAGTAGCACAATAAATACTAGGAGTGTTCAGTAAAAAGTGATTAGAGTATGACGCAATTATCTCTTATTTAACTTCATAATATTATATTTCGACGTAGTCACCTTTTAGATACACAGATATAGTTTTTAGATACACTTTGTATGCCTTTCTTCTAAAACTATAATTTCCATTTCAAAAACAAACTTCTTGAACCCTTAGGAAACCGTCTACCGCGGCGACTATTGCGTCATCATCTTCAAATTTATGACCCCTGAGATGTTCCTTTAACCGCGAAAATACGTAGAAATCACTAGAACCTAGGTCCGGTGAACATGGAGGATGTTCCAATTCAAAGGCAGCTTCTTGTATGGCAGCCATCGCAACTCTGGACTTATGCGGGGGGTGTTATATTAGTGAAACAAAGCAATTTTAGCGTTTGCCACGCGGTTGCTTGCGTATTTCCTCACGCAACTTTGTCATTTGTTCTGCGTACAAAGTCGCCGTAATAGTGGCTCCATGATTAAGGTATTCGATCATTACCACCACTTGGCTGTCCCAGAAAAAACCCATGATCTTACCTGTTGATGAAATCGCTTTGGTCTCTTCTCAGTCGTGGATTGTTTTTTTTTTTCGTTTCCGGATAATAATTGTGAAGCCATGTTTCGTATATAGTATGAATGGAGCCAAAAATCAGTAAAGTTCTTGTTGCAACAAAGTCAAACAGCTTTGTGAAATACTCACTCTTGCTTGGTTCTGCGCGTCAGACAGCTTTCCGGTCATTCAGCGCGCTGAGACTTTTTTCATACTTTTATATTCTGCTATAAAACAACAGTAATATGACGATCCCGCAAGACAATTTTATCAACTTTTTATATCATTTCTTCAGTCACTACCGATGTAGGGCGTCCCATGCGGGGGACGTCGTTAATGGAAGTTCTTCCTCACTTGAACTTTGATGAGTTGACACCAAAGCGCAACCGTAGAATACGGAGGAGCATGAACTCCTAATGTTGCTCTCAAATCTTGATATGGCAGCTCCGTAGTAAAATTTTTCAAACAGCAATATTTTATTACCGCGCGAACTTCAATTTATCCATTTTTAAGAATACGTTCCGACACAATGCAAATCGATGACTTCTATTTAAAAAAAAAAGAAAAAATAAAATTGGTTGTTTTTTTTTGATATAGGAGAATGTATCGCATTTTCACTATTTATTGAACACCCCTCGCACAACGCGCATCATACAGGCTGTTATATAAAATTGAAACACTCGTGATGTTTTGAAAGATGTCTATATTGTATCGTAAAACGAATGAGAGCATGCCATAAATCACAATAAAAGTAGCTATCAAAAACACATTGGAAAAAAGAATGACAATTTCATAAAGCTTGAGAATTATGTTTTGATATAATTAAAACTACTTGTGCAGTTTAATGTCGCTTTTTTATAATCATTATATTATTTCCAATGTTTCGAATATTTAACAGTTTGCGTGTTCACAGAAATAATATTATTATAATTTCAACAAAAATTCGCGAGATTAAACCTTAAAGTAGTTTTGATAGTTATCATGTCTACGGCTTGCAAAAATCGAAATGTTTCGATATACTTACTCTACAATGTAAACAAAGTTTACACAATTTTGTCATACTGTAAAATGGATCGAAGAAACAATCCAAAATCTTATGTAATTTGAGTGCCTTGTAACATAAGTATATTTAAATTAACAATGTTATTGAATATATTAAACTTGTTTCATATATAATTGTTTTAATTTATTTATTTTACAATTATGTGCTTTTGGGGTATTAAATATTTCAGTTGATATATACATTTTTAATTATTTAAAATATACAAATGCTTATTATAAAATTTAAAAATACTGTTAATATAATATAAACGTAAACAGTATTCATCATACAGTTGTGACTAGATTTGCCAAATACAAAAAAAAAAGTCAAACGTTTTCCATTACAAAATTTAAATACACTATTAAAATAATGTTAACGCATACAGTGTCCTTCATATAGTTTTGATTAGATTTGCCAAACGCATAAATCAACGTTTAATAGCGCAGTTCTTTAAGGTTCGTAGCATTACGATAATCTAACTTGAAATATCCCTAATGATGCAGTTCCAGTTGTGACTTTAACGCGGTGGCAGCCAGTTGCGATAAAAAATACTCTCACAACCTTAAGACTAAATCTAAACACAATGAAGGGGGATACAGAGGGCAGAGTCAAAGGTCTAAATACATAGGGAATTGCAAACTTTAATCTGATGTTTAGTTTAAGGTTTCATAACCTGTTTGCTTAGTGCGAGTTTCTTAAAGTTCTCGACAGCGTAAAAGTTAAGTCAATATTGTATGCAATTGGAACAGCGCCCCTAACGGCAAACGTACGCAAACGTTTCCATTCCATACAAATATGAGCTAACTTTTACGCTATCGAGAACGATAAGAAACTCTCACTAAGCACACTGATCCGGACTTATGTTTTTTTTTTTCGATCTAGACTCTTTCACTCTCTGTTGGTTGAGAGAGTAGAGTGACGTCACCCATAGGATAGCTTTCGGTTCTTCTGCCACAAGCAACATTCTTAGCACGTTCCCTGGGCGTGCCACAGCACAGTCGTTTCAATACGCACGCGTAACACATGAGCAATGAAAACATGAGGAGTAACCCCACCACGACCGTCACTACCAGCAGAATCCGGAGTTCGCCATTCGCGTCGACTCCGCCAGAGTTGCGACCCATTTTCGTAGATTAAATTTTCATCTGAAAACAAGAAGATTTCATAAGACTAATTAAAGTTTCGCCGCTTGATAAATCAATAAAATAAATGTCCAAGTAACGTCATCAACAGAATCCTATTAATTAGTAACCATTGAATAAAAAAAAAATGTTCGTGTCGTAATTAAACTAAGATTATACATAACTGTCAAACTGGTTTTGTTCGAAAATGATCCCTGAATAAGTGACTGGTATCACAATTATAAAAAAAATACAATAGAAATCACTTTTACTATGTTGAAATAAATATTTTATATGTGTATGTATACGCAACAGGCAAGCTATTTTCCAAAACGAATATTTAAAACTACTATTGCTCGTCCGATATTCGAAATACGACTGTAAACACTGACACCTTCAGACTTAGATTCATGCCATGTATTAATTACATTTTCAATTTTGCTTTGTTATTGGTATTAAGAATACCTACTAAAAGAAAAAAAATTGGTAATATCATAGCAATAGCTACAAATCTACAGACGCAAATATATCACCAGCCCGATCACCCGCTCTGCCCAATATCCTGGGCCAGAAAGTCAAGTATCTGCGATTCACTATGGATAGATCCATTACCTTCCGACATCACATTGAATGAATCTCCTACCGAGCAGAGTTCATCCACGGCAAACTTTACTTAAAGAATTACAAGCAGAAGAAACCTTCTCCTCGTAGTAATATGATACTACAAAACTTGCATTATCACATGAATGAAAATATCACATAAAGTCGCCGTGCCCTAACCGATAGGACTCCCGGTTTATTCGTATTGAACGATGCGATTGTACCGGTGTTCGAATTCCGCAGGCAGGTACAAATTTTTCTGATTTACCAATAAACTTCGTACCTACTTAACACATGTTCACAAATGATTTCCATAATTAAGGAATAACATCGCGTGGTAAAAATATAACCCGTAAAAATTCTCCGTCTTGTGAGCTGGTACGGATAGGTTGTTGATGTCTATGGAATCTGGTGACGCTTTGCATTATCTAGACTGTGAGCTCGTCCTCCCATCGAAGGAAACATTTTTTTTACAATTAGCACACTAGAGTGGTTGGGCAGGTAGCTTCGGATCAAAATTCAAAGACGCAATTACTTTGGATTATTTGGGTTATTCTTCTGTTGAACGTAAGTTATTGGTGCCAATTAATCACATACACACTAATAGGTTGCCTACAAATGCTACCAGCAAAACGTCCGGAATGGGTTTAAATTTTTAATTTGATTTTAAAATCGATCACCTCGTTACTGCCATCGATTGCAGACGGTATATCTAATGGGAAGTAGTTACAAGTGGACACAGACAAGCCGCAGCACTAAAGTTCAGACGTATAGTAAAACCATAGTAATTCATAGCCTCGCTTCGGTACATAAAGCGTTCTAGAGGATTCGTCACTTTCACGACGTTTTATGATCACAATAGTAAAAGAAACGAGGTCAATTCCGTTTGATCGTCATAATCCCAGACGGCGTGAACGTTCGAAACGACAACAGACGTCTTTAGTCTACCATTTTCTAAGATAAATGTCGATCTTTTCAATTTAATTTTGTTGAAAACTATATTAATATGAGCCGTATTATTTCGATTTATTCAAAATTATATGTGAATAAGTAAACAAGAACGGAGACCGTTGGTAGTGCTGGTGTCTTCTAATACGATGACATTACAAAAAAAACGAATTGCAAATCTATTAATGTATAAACAGCGAGAGCAGCTATGTACCATTTTCTTTTCTTTTATTATGCGTACGTAGTAGTTAATAACGAGAGAGAGAGAGAGTTAACATTTAAAAAATATATAGAAACAGTTTTTACCCACCTTTACAAACCAAAATCTCAATAATGAACAAAAGAGTAAATGTAATACATTAGTCTAAAGTCTAATTAGCACTAGATTAACCAATTTGAATGAAATAATAAAACAAATTTAACAGTAGGTACATAGCGTTTCTTGTATATTGACGTATTGTAACGCATTTAAAAATCAACTCTCCATTCTTTCTTCGACCAGAAATATCAAACCCACCATTGCTTAATCTATTTAATTAATGTTGACAAAGCATGTCGTTACCATTTCGGCTTCCGGAATGCTCCTCTGACACACTGTAATATATTTACACTATAATTAAAACTACGTTTACGTCACGTTTTTTTGGAATCATTATAATTAATATTATTTCGACGATTGGTAGTCGTGCCCAAGAAACGAATGTATTCGAAATGTTGGAATTAATATAATGACAATAAAAAAAGCGAGATAAAATCGTGAAAGTGGTTTTAATTATATACGAGAACCGAAGACACAAATTTTTATTTTTATATTTAATTTAATTTAATAATTACATTAAACAACTCAAATTAGGTAATAAAGTAGAAAAAAAGTATTGTGCACTATATTTGAGCTATGATAATGAAAACTCCAAGTTGAACATTAGAAAATAGTGAATTTCTTGTTTTCATCATAGTATCTACCGCTCGTGTGTTTACATAGTGCTATAAATATATACGGTACTATTTACTGTCTAACTTGACTGAATGTGATGTCTAAATATTGGAAATTCCCCGAAAGTTTGAAACATGATATGTTGACCTGATTTTATGACGAATAACTCTAACTAAGCACAATTGAGCACATATCAGGTAACTTTTTGACTTCACATCACATTTTGATCGTTAGTTAATGGATATAACATGGGCTATTAATACGCTTTTTTTAATGCTCTAGACGTAAACTGACTGACAAATAAACTTAACTTCAAAAACCTAATAGGCGTGTGGTATGTAGTAATAGAATCAATGCTTTTTCTTACATATCCCTCTGTTTGAGTTAACCCGGAGTTGGCTATCGGTCGATCTATCTTCGTCCGGCATAGCGAGGCTCTGCGTCATCATAGTAAAGGCCGATCGAGTGTGTTTACTTTACTATCAATATTTCAGTGTAAAGGCATTCATAAATCATCCATACAATGTACCCACTAACATAATGTTTGGAAAGTAAGAGAAAATAGTTATTTTTTCAAGACGCCTAATATTTTCCTTTAGGTCTCGCTTTGCTCCTCGGTAATGTCTTTTATGTCTGTCTCTCAAATAATGAATAAGTGAAAATACTGGAATTAAAATAAAATAGATTTTACTATCAAATTTTCTCAACGGGTTGTAAGATTTTACTACTGTTCGTTTTTAGATTTAGACTACCACTATTGTGCAAACGTGTCGCAAATCAGTTCTTGAACTATGTTTCAAGAACGCTGATACTAATAGGTGTTTTACTGAAAAGCACAACATAAGACTTCCTTCATCAGTTCGTCTAAATTCTTCACGCACGAAAATAACTTTGCGCGTCAGAATGTTCAACTTGTTATAAAAGATCTAGTGGAATACACGAGACGACTTCGTATTCATCCCGATAAAGATATGATTATACTAGAGAAAGATGCTACAGTACCGCGGCAAAAACAACAAGTATAAAAATAAAATGAATTGTATTGTTTTAAAGGAAGTGCTTAAGAGGAACCTTTGTTAATAATCACAACAACATTTATTTGTCAATATAATCTAGTACAGAGTTTTCTATTAAGTACCGTGTCAATAACCTACGAACTATTGAATCACGATTCAATGTGATCTTCAGAAACCAAAAAAAGTATACATTCTCTCTCTATTTTTATGCTCCATAACTTGTATTCCTATACGAAGGCCTAAATAATTTTATGGGATGAATATAATTACGAGTATTATTGTTCAAATTATTGATATTTCAATAGATTTATAATTTATTTTCTTTTTTCAATCAGTAAGTACATAGCGCTTAATTGATTTTTTTAGGTGATTTTCGTTCATCAGATGGTTGTCTCGAAGAGATTTCCATTGGCGATAAGATCGCCCATTGTACTTTTGTCTTTAATGTTTTCCACTTGTTTTGATTTATATTGGTGCTATAAAGCATACTCTGCTTTACTCTGTACTGTCCCGCA